CAGTTGGCTTGGGGACTACAAGGCAGCATCTGCGCCTCTTCCCGGGCAAGTAAGCACCATCTGTTCATTTAATAATAGTTCTACCTAATATTCCCTGTTAACACATCATTATCAGAATGTAAAATTTCTGAACAGTTTTTAGCTGTTCCTGAGAATGAATCCATACGGTAGCAATCAGTGTTTGGTAAAAGTAATGGGAGAAGGGAGCCCACAATTTTTCTATTTTTTGTAGATAAACTTTTCTGATTGTAGAAAATCCAAAGCTTTTTTTTAAAAAAAAAAGATTTAAAAAAACACGGAAAAGCCTTGCTCCTAATCTGTATATAAAAATATTGCTTTTATATTCAAGGTATGAATTACTTTCTGGATAGGTCTTGGTAGTCTAGTATAAATGCAAATCCAGTAAGTAATTCTTGTGTATACTGAGATTGCAATAGAATTAAAATAATAAATTCAAAATTGATATATCAGATTGATAGGTTTAGGATGCGTATATTAATTCATGCAAAGTAAGACAAAATAGTGAGGATGAATTGCATTTTCTTCTGAGACATGCTTTATTTTATATTTGTATTTAACTGCTAATCACCTTATTCTATATTGAAGATAGGGAACTAAAATAGCTGTCTAAGGATTATCCAGGAAATTGACACCAGCTTCTGTGTTTCATTCCCAACAGTATTGTTCATTTCTGGAATGGCACTGAAGACATAGTGAGTCATAGCTGAAGCCGCTGTGTGTCTCTAGAATTACTTTACTGAAGTTTATATTATGTAGTAGTAATTGATAAAGTTTGAAACAATATTTGTTTTTCCATTCCTTCATATTCTCTATTGCCTTCTCTATTGTTTTCTATGAGTTATCAAAAGTAATTGTTGGTGGTTTATTGCATTCATTAGTTAATTCCCTTAAGCTCTAGATGTATGTACAATGGCTCAACTTGATTATAGTGCTTCGTGGTTTCTTTTGTCCATTCCAGTTTTCTAGATATTTTAAGCATTGCCTTGCTCCTTATTAATCCTACAAATGACATTTCTTCCTTCCTGGGTTTCTAAGAATGTCTGGATATTTATTAACAATTAGATTGTAAGAATTCTAAGTACTTACATAACCATTCTCCTAACAAAAGGAGTAGTACTTTTTTCTTACATTTCCCCTTCCATCAAGCCATGATTTTCTGGGTCTTGGGCAAGGTTTCTATTTAGAAAAGCCATGGCTCTTCTTCAAATTATCATGATATACTTTTGTGCATTACTTGTTTCTTCATCCATCGTATCTTTTTTTCTTCTTCTTTCTACTACCCTGTAATCTTTTATTGAGGTTGAGGCCAGATGACTGAATGGAGCAGAGTGTTTATTGGTCAGATGCCCTTCCTGGTGTCTATATGGAGTTCACAGAAGATACTTTCTCTTTGCACTCTGATAAACATCTGTTACTGTCTAGGTGGCCACTAATTCTAAGTTGGTTTAGTTAATCAGGGTTAAACTAGACATATTGTTATTATTGGCAGCACTTAATCGACTTTTGCTGAAACATGTAGTGAAATGACAATGTTTTATGGATGTGTTTATAAATAAGAGATGGAATATGGGGTGAAGAAATTATTGGTTGTAAAGTAAAATGAGGTGAAAAGTTACTAAATTTGTATATACTTGTGATAAGGGTTGGAGGTAACATCTTTATTTTTGTTCCTTTTTCTTTACTAAATTATTTTTTCTTTCTATTGTTTTTTTTTTTTTTGCTTTGCCCTTTTTACTTTTTCTATTTTTAGTTTGTATTAATTTTTACCATGTAATTATAACCTTTAATAAATTTATTTTTTAAAAAAAATAATTGTAGGTAATTTTAACAATTAATATTTCTCTTTTTCTCTCTCAAGCTCCATAGATCTACAGGTCTAGTTTTAGTATTTTATCCAAATTGGAAAGCTATATTTATCAATAAAATATAAGTGGGGCTTAAATAATTTTGAAACTTTTTTATATCAGATAAGATGAAAGGTCTTTCAGAAAACTATGGAAGCATCATCAAAGATATGCCTTTATATACTTAATCCCACCACTGGTACAAATATACATTGTGATATTTATATGATAATGTAGTAACATAGTTTTATCTTTGCCTTTTCATTCTGTCTGTGGACAGCTGATAAGGCAGAGCTGATTCAATATTTAAATATTGAAAGTTATTCAATATTTAACTGTAGCATTTCAAAAGAAAAGGAAGCATATGGGTTAATCTGAAAACAGTGAGCATCTTTTATTACTCTTCTTTTTTCAGTTCTGGGTTCACTAAAAGGAGTAGACTGCCATCCCAACTTCATTCTTTTGCATCAGCAAAATGTGATGCTATTGAATCGCTTCACATAGTGCTCCTGGCTACTAGCTAAAGTTCTGCTTTCTACAAAAGCAAAATGGAAATTGCAATTTCATAGGAAATTACCTGCAGAAAAAGTTCATTACTATATATTTCTTATAAGAGAATTAGTAATTTCACTTATTACATATGGTACCAATAAATGATGAAGGGGACATCTCATTGTTATACCACAGTTTTCCAGTTGTACTACAACAGATAAAGAGAGGCTTATGGATCTCATGCATGATTAGACCAGTGAAAATCTTCCTCTATGTATAGTTGAAAAGTATTTCTATATATTTGAACTTGTGAAATGGTTTCCAGATAAGGCCTTTAATTGGTGAGGTTATTTTCATCAACATTTAGTCACAGCTGTTCTGTTCTCAGAAGTTTAGTGAAGCAAATTTCAAAGATATACATGGTGTAAGATTAAGAATTAGATAATAATTAATGCTCCAATGGAAACAATAAAAGAGTAACTTTGCAAAGATCATATTTAGGTATTTGATCATTATATCCAGAGATAACTCAATACTGCAGAGGAATCCTGCAGTCCCATAACAAGATATACTGTCCCTTGAAGTTACCAATTATGATCCTGTAGAATGACTCAGGGAAAGGAAATAGTTCTATTGAAAAATGACAAAGTACAGACAAGAAGGTTTTTTTAAGCTGAAATGACATTTGTTACCTTGTAATGCAGTGTGTATGAGGAATCTTTACATTTATTTTAGCATACGCTGTAAATCAAGCCATCACAACTATAATTTATTTTAACATTACACATGTGAGAAACTGACTTTTATAAATGTGTGCAGTATTCAGATCTCAACCAGGCAAAGGTACTTCAGATCTGACATGGGCACCTTCTGTCATCTGCTCCTTAAAGAAGCTTGCCTTTTCATGTGTCCACATGGTACCTGTATGGATTCAGGAAAATACGTGTTTGAGTTAAGGAGATAGCAACACATATTTAAGTAGTAACCAATAGCAGAGAAGATGCCCATGCAGGATCCAAAGGACCTTTAACTTTTTCAAATTCAAATATTGTATATCTTTAGTAACAGTTTTTCACTTTACAAATTAGATATGAACCCAAATAATTGGTAATAGCCTTTTGCTAAAAAGCACCAATTTCAACTAGTTTCATAATGTAAATATTTTTATTATTACTGATAAGGTTTACTGTGAATTACGACTGCTTATGAAGAACAAAGTGCTTATATTTATTTTCCACTTACATTTCAAGAATATTTTCTTTGGCAAATCATTAATACATCTTGACATATTATAAACTTCAGTTTCATCTTATTAGCGGAAGGACGGAAGGAAGGAAGGAAGGAAAGAAGGATATATGTACTGTATCTACTAATTAGCAATAACTATAACTCTTTTGATAACCTTCTTTAACCTCTGGATCCATAAAAATACTTTGTCCAAGACAAATCAATCAATGTCAGTAAAAACATAGAAGATGTCCATTTAACTGGTTGGAATTTCTATGTTTAGAATTATAAGGGTAGGAATAAAAGAAAATATGTAAAATTGGTGCAGGGGCAAACTAAATTTACAAAAAATCTGGTTGTACCATATTCTATGTGAATGTGATAGATGGTAAGCTCTAGTACATTTACATTTCAGCTGTTTTCTGCATTTTAGCATTCATGAGCAGTTTGAAATTTCAGCTTCATTGCCTTCTCAATAAAGATAATATATGATATGGGAAAATTCTAAACTATAATTTCTGTTTGTTATCCAGCTGTCCTTGCCTAACAGGCCTTAAATGATATATAATATAATATTCTTAGTCTTTCCCTTTCTTCATTTCTTACCTAGATTGTTTATCTTCTCTATTCTAGGCATCATATATGAAAAATCACATAACCTGCTATTTGGAAGCTTTAAAAAAAAAAAAAGTATTTGTGCAAATGCAGTTTTTCCAATATTTGTGTGTTTTTTAAGATAAATAGTTATCATACCCATAAATGGTTTTATCGACTCAGAGAAATATCCACAATATTCTTATATATTTCTGAGACTTTGCCTTATCACAAGTAATTTTATTTTTCTGTCAAAAGCACTACTGTATGCCACCGATAACACAAAAGTAAAGTCCATCACTGTTGATAAGAATCTTCATGTTTCCCACCCCCCAAGGGAACATATATCAGGGTGGTAAGAAGTGTCTAAGGGAGAAAGGTTTAAGTATGCTCTCTTATTAAATTCAGGAAAATGAAAATCTTCTTAAAAGCAATGTTATATGCCTCTAAAATATGGAATATGTCATATCAAAACAAAATACAATAATATTAATAGAGCAAGCACTATTATGAGAATATACACAATTATTGTAAACTTAGTCCTGACAACTGTATTTAGTAATCATGCTATTAACCTGAATAAAATATGTATCTCCACAATGTATCAATTAAGATACTATTGTTACTCTTCAAAATTAAATATACAGACTCTTAGCATAATTTAACTCTGGAGTTAAATTATGCTACTTTGCCCTTCAAATTCAATATCTAATATAATTCAGATATTCAGTTTAAAACATCATCAAAGATGGAAGTCTGGCCTCTGCATGAACATTTTCCTCAAGGGCGAAATCACTATTTCTTAAACTAGATAGTTCCGTTATCAAACTGCTCAATTTAAAGGCAATGCAGGATATGAAGAGCAGGGAAGGCCTGGCACTTCCAAATTGGGAGTTGTATTATAGTGCAGCCTCTTTAGTATGGTTGAAGGAATAGGTGAATTTAACCAATAAGAGAATATTATTCTTAGAAGGCCATGACTTGTAGAGGGGGTGGCATGCTTTTTTATGGGATGTAGGGAAAACTAGCCAGAAATATTTTCACAGACACCTAATCAGAGACTCATTATTAACTAATTGGAAGAAAATAAGGAAAAAACATTATTTAAAAATACCAATTTGGATTTCAACAATGGAGACGATGATTCACCCAAATAATCTGGATATCACTAAAATGATTAAATACAAGGACCTATTGGATACACAAGGAAATTTGAAATCGTGGCAAGAACTTCAAGAGTGGGGACTAAAAATTGATCAGTGGCCATATCTTCAAATTCAAAGTAGTTATAAACAGGACAAGAAAGAATTTGGAATTAACAATAAACTCCAGTAATTAGATAAAATTTTATTAGGATCAGGCAAAAAAAATATAACAAAATTTTATAATTATTTATTAGACGTAGAATTAGAAGAAGAAATTGTAAAAGGGAACATGATAGCCTGGAGTAGGAATATAGGATGTAGCATCACCATAACAGAATGGGAAAAGGTCTGGGGTAGAAATAATAAAATTACAAAATCGGTAGCATACAAAAAAAATGCCTATAAAATGTTTTATAGATGGCACCTTCCTCCTTTGAGATTAGCGAAGATGCACCCCAATATGAGTCCGAATTGCTGGAAATGCAAAAAAAAAGAGGAAACTTTTTTCATATATGGTGGTCCTGTTCAGAAGCTCAAAAATACTGGCAGAAAATTAGAAATTGGCTGGAAGAAATGACAAGAGAACAGATCGAATTCAAACCAGAGTCCTTTCTGTTACGGATCTTTGATAAACAAATATCAAAAAAGTGAAATATATAATAATACACATTTTGACAGCGGCCAGATTGGCTTTTGCACAATGTTGGAAGCAGCCTCATGTTCCATCAGAGGAGATGATCATTGAAAAAATTTCAAGTTGTGCAGAAATGGACAAATTAACTTTGGCATTAAAAAATAAAGACACTTCAATATACTACAACAGCTGGAACTGCTGGTATAAATGGATAGACCAAAGATAGACTTCACACTAAAAGGCAAAAGAGGATAGGATAAATCCATAGTAGTGATACACAGATATATGTAAGGATTAGGTGTGTGTATATGTCATAAAAGAAGGATAAAAAAGAGGCCTTACAAACTGTTGAAGATGAGAATGTTTTTAATTGTTTTCTATTTTTTTCTTTCTATTTTCTTCTCCCTTTCTTCTTTTTCTCTCTTTCATTTATGTATGTGTTGTTGGTTTGTTTTAATTGTAAAATCAATAAAATTTATTAAAAAAAAAAGAAAGTCTCAAGTGATGACGCTCCCACAACTTCCAAGGACAAGCTGTTCCAGGTATTTTCCATCTTCAGATGGAAGATACTTGGCTCAGCAAGAGTAGTTTTGTGAAAAATATGGGTGTCTTGATAGACCACATATTAGGTGTCAACTAGCGTGTTGGCAAAAAGAGCCAATGAAATCTTGGATTGCACCAGCAGAGATATCATGTCAAAAACAGAGGAAGCAATAGTTTCACTCTATGCAATACTTTGTCAGACTATTTTTGTGAAATTGTGTCTTTTTTTGGTTCCCACAATACAAAATTGGTTGGATTAAAAGACTTGCAAGTTCACTTTCAACCCCATGATTCTATTATTTCAATGGTACTCCTTACCAGTAAATATGCATTAATTTGAGAAACATTTTGAATATTAACTGTGAACATTTTTCCTGATAAACCAAAGTGGTTTTGAACTTCTATTTTATTCTAATAAATATATTTTTATTATTTGACATGCATAATTTTGTTACCTGCACTAATCTTGCAAATTTGAACATAATTTATGAAGAAGGGGAAAACAGCCAAAAGGCCTTTACATGATTATGATTCATACTTTCCAAATAGCTAGATATGAAGAATGCTTCAGAGTACGTTAAGTTATTAAATTAGTTACTTTAAGTTTTATTGGCAAGGAAAATGGAAAAATAACTGTTGTACAAGTTTCATTATTTCTCTATTCAATTAAAGTAAATACATTTGTAATTAATGTATGATGTTAATTAAGCATCAGCATCAAACTCTGATTTTAATATGACATTTACATTTGATGGCACCAAAGAGGAAGCTAATGATTACAAAGCAGAACCATTAACAAAATCACAACATAGTAATCAACACTCACCATGCTGCAGTTACTGTTTGCAGAAATGCACTTCTTATCATCACACCATTGACAGCCATTTGTATTAGCAGTACAACTGGCACAGTCTGCATATTTGTAACATCTGTCATCTGCTGCGGCTATCAGACAAATGGAAAGTGTCACAAAACATCAAATGAGAGATTGAGAATGCCTTCCTTTTTAATTTGCACATCTTTAACTGTTGCTATAAACAATATTTATTGTACTATTAATTGTAAGTGCAACTTTTAGTCTAAGATTAACATTCTTTAATAAAAAGCAAGTAATATATGTTATATTTCATTTAAATTCAGTCATGCATATATTTTACTGGAAACTTTTCTAGTTTTAGGCTTACCAAACAATCATTTCCGGAACAACCTTTTTTTTTTAAAATAATTTCTATACAATGTTTAAGTGTTCATTGCTTGACCCATGTGAAGTTTTCATTCTTTGCTCATTAATTTATCAAAGTATCATAGAAAATTTTAGCTACTATTCACAAAATACATTTTTAAATCTGAAAAATTAAGATCTTGTCTGTTTTATTTTATATTGGACTATCTGTATGTTCTTACATGCAGCATATAGAAACTAAACAAGAAGCCTATCATCATCTCGCTGGATCTTTTTATCTCATCATATCTTTGCAACAAATGTATTAGTATGTTAAACTTATACTACCAAATGCAGATTTAGCAGCCAATGAAGTTCCTAGTTAGACGGTGATTTGATTGTAGAGGTCTCAAGCATCTTATCAGTTTATTTATTTATTTGCCATAGGGTTCAATTATACTGTATTAGGCCTTAATTTAATATATGATAGATTTATCTATCATTGTTCAGATGAGTTTCATCATATTAGATGGGTCCATAAACATGGTGTAATAGATGGATTCATAAATATGGAGTAACTAAAAAACATAGTTTAGAAATTATGGTTGAAGTCTTGCACAACATGGCATTGAAGTGAGAGAAAATTTATGAACTTTTAGAATTATCTATAATCCTGCAGTATTGTGACTTATAAGAAAGCTAGTTTGATGTAGGAGTTAAGGCACCAAGCTAAGACCGTAAGTTCTTAATGTGTGTTAATAAAAAACCACATGGATAACTTTGAATCAGTCATTCCTTTTCTGTCCTAAGAAGGCGGCAATGGCAAATCACTTCCAAAATCTTGCCAAGAAAACTTTTTCAAACAAGTTTTAATTTTTTAAATAAAAATTATTTATTTACTGTGACCTATATTATCATCATAGCTTCTGTAAGTCTTAGAGAATGAGATTCTGGTTAAATAAACAATACATAAACAAGGTATTCCTTGGGTCTTTATTTTATTTATTTAAGATAATTTATATAGTCACCTACTCACTCACAGCAACTCTAGGCAGCTTAAAGATAATAAAAACACAATGTAAAAAAAAAAACCAATAAAAAGTAAAAAGTAATACAAAAATAAAAAATAAAATAACCACGTTATCAGGGCCTTATGAAAAAGTGTCAAGAGTGAGGGCCAGTCTAATTTCTGGAGAGATTATGTTCCAGAGGAGGAGAGCCACTACGGAGAAGGTCCTTCTTCTGGGTCCTGCCAGATGTACCATCTCAGGGGAAGGGACCCGCAACATTCCTTGCCTCCCCATTCTAGTGGGTTGGGTGGATGTGATCGGCAAAAGACAGATAACCTGAACTCGCTAAACTTGAAGTATCAGTGGATTCATCTACTTGAAAGGGAAACTTGCTCTGTTTTACTTCTTTTATTAGTTCCTTGTCACACACAAAAATTGACATAACCTTTAAATATCATTATCAAATAGTGGTACATATTAATTGTTTTTCAAAATAACCAATTATGAATTCTACTAGATCTTTCCTTCATGATTTAGCCAAGTTTTCTGCAGGAGTATAAGCTTCACCTGCTTTTGCTATATGATAAATCACTAGATAGCAAGTTTTAAAGACACTTTTTGTTGGTGTACAATTTTTTTTATGGAATTTGAAACACTTGGGGCTTTTGTCTTTCAGATTGGAATGTTTGTTTCCAGATGTCCTTGTAATTTTTCTGGAATCATATTATTGCTATTATTGTTATTATTACTCATGTTTAACATATCAATTTGATTTATTTTATTGACAGTCCTGATAAAATAAAAGTTGATAAAGGTGTCATATTATTTACATTTCTTAGTGGAGCTTGAACTTAATTTCTAAAGACTTGTACAATTAAAACAAGAGCAACAGTACTGAAATTTTTATGTTTTCATATTTTTCTGTACTGCCTACAACTGTACCAGTTTGTAGCCAATGAACTGAAAAATATTCATAGTATATAAATATTTATTCTTTCTAATCAAAAGAATAAAAATATTCATCTACTGAGGGGTATATATCTAAGATAGTTACAGAAGTTGAATATTATTAAGCTGAAAAATTATGCAAGAAATTCACCATTTATGATGCCACTTAGAATGAATCCATTACAAGATGACTCGCTTGTACATAAACATGGCATGCAGTACAAAACGTACATGTTTTACATTAATGTAAATTAAATGGATTTCTCCCATTGTGGATTATTGGCTGAAATCTTTTAAACATCATGTTCCATCTTCCTTGATTCCCTCACATGATTACCCCAGAAGAAAAAGAGGCATAGTTGGTCAATGACTTAACATGCTGGAGATTCTCTTTGCTCCAGCACTGTGTGTTGGGTGAGCTCCTATCACTTGCCTCAGCTTCTGCTATCTAGCAGTTCAAAAGCATGTTATTTGCAAGTAAATAGGTACCACTTCAGTGGGAGATAAGTTGGTGCTTCATGCGGTCAATTAAAAATCCTGCTTGTGCTGGACCTTCCCAGCTATAATGCCCATTGGCAAGGTGGCTTCAGTATAGGGAAAGAGCAGATGATGCTTCAGGAACGCCACTCATCTTTATTTCTAGTGCAGAGCTAACTCGTCCCCAGTGGTACACCATGGAAAGTACATGAGCATGAACCGAACAGGGCTACCAGTCTTATGCAGCTAAACTACTACTCTGTATTTGGATTGTAATGTCCTGGATAATGTAACATCACCATATAAATAAATAAATGCCAGAGAAGTCCAACTCCAAAGGACTTAAGACACATATGTACCATAGCTGATCAGTACAATTTTATTTTTCTTTATTAATTTTCAGCAAGCATAGGATGCCACCTTGATGATTAAGCAGACACATGAATTCACACAACTATGTTCTACAACATAGGAAAAAAGACATTTTAAAAATATTTCTATTGGTATATGATCATATCACATACCTCTATCACAAAGTGATAACAAGACCAAAACTGAAGAAAGCATTTAGACAGTGAAGATAGTATGACACATAACAATCATGGCTGAACTGCTGTCGCGACTACACAACACATGTGTTTGAATCGAAGCCACAGTGACCTGAAGGATGGCATTCCTCTTCATCAGAATAAACTCTATATCATAATAATATGTGCGGTCTATGTAAAATGCTGTGAGGTGAAGCTCTACGCATTAACCACGATTCATGTGATTGCGTTCATAAGAATAATTATCATTAAAAATGGTAATCATGGGTAATAAGGGTAACAAGGGGTAATGAAGGGTAGTGAGGGGAAATTATTATAAATATCGAATCCCAGGAAACTCGGGTTAGATCCAACTTTATTTTGTTTGCTTAGCTATTATCTCGGACTCCTTGCAGAGGATGGAATAAACAATAAACTTTTGTGTTACTAAATACTGAAACTAAGAGTGTCTTATTTTTTCCCTGCATTTGTGCCAAAGAGTAGCTGAAAGGAAAGTTGGATCTCATCCTATAATATTTCATTACCTGTGATATTATGGCTGAAGGTACTGCTGTTGACGGAGGTTTTGAGGACATTTCAGAGGTGGGTGCGGGTAATGCTGTTGGAGGGGCTGGCGTGGTGCCTGAGTAGCCCTCAATTCAGTTGGACAATAATGTGGTGTCTCTGGAAAGTGGACAAACAGATAACGTGAGATGTGAAGAGGATCCTCAGCCTGTGGTACAGCCGAAAATCCGGAAAGAACGGAAATCAGGATTGGAGTTGAAGAACAATATGAGGGGGAAAGTTTCACAAGGGAAACCTCCTACTTTTATGCCGCTGCCCTCTGGGATGTTTGAGAAGTGGAGGGAATGATGGATTGCTGATGAAGATGAATGTAGTACTTCTACGACCAGTTTAAATACTACTACGTTGGAACTGCTCCATGTCAAGTATGGTGACTTAAGCATTCGTGACTCTACTCCCCAGACCGTTTGGGAAAGTCCAGGGAGGGGATTTAGAATGGAAGACACATCTTTCTTTAGTTCAAGTGCCAGAGATAGCAGGGAGATGAGGAGGAGGAGGTCGGAGGGAGCATTTTCTATGGAAGTAGATGAATCATTAGCAGATGTAGTAGAGTATCAGGAACTCGAAGTAAAACCTCTAAACCAGTCCCAGGTTCCAGGGTTGAATTTAGGGATGCACAGATGGGGAATAGACAAACAATTCACTCCTGGGATCCATCAGGCATGTCTGGATATTGTCCCCAAAGAATAGTTTGGGGTGGTCTTCGTCCTATAAACACTTCCTTTGATGGGAACTCTGATAGGTTAGCATTATTTTTAAGCCAAATTGTGAACCACCTAGAATTATATTCAAATTGCTATCCTTCTCGATGGTCTATTATAGTATAACAGGTGATGCTGCTGATTGGGCTGCAGAGTTGCATGCAAAGGAATTGATTGATGTTGGTTTGTTTTGGATGCACTCAAAGTTCAATTTGAAGATAGGTCAAGGATACATCAATATGAAGAAGCATTAATGTCATTGAAGCAGGATGGGAGACCTGCTGTGGAGTATGTCAGAGAGTTTCAGAAATTAGCAACTAGATTGCACACCTGGCTGGAAAGACTATTGATTAGAGAATTTAGATCTGGTTTAGATAGAGGATTGAGGCAAGCTTGTCTTTATAGGGAAGTTCCCCAGAAACTGGAGGAATGCTATAAAACAGTTGTGGAGTTGGATGTGGGACTGAGGGAGTTCTGTCCTACATTTGGAGAGCCCAAAAGACAACCAATAGGAACAGTAGCAGCACGAGGTAAG